GGAATGTAATTTAGCTAATTATAGCACCTAGACATATAAGTGAGGATATTTTCTGAAAAATGAGGATGAAGAACATGAGAAGTTACTTCTTTCACAGTCTTCTACTAGTGCTTCTTGGCTGAAGGTTTGTAAGACACCAGAAGACCAAAGGAAGCATACCCAAACAAAAGTGTCTGAATGAACCATTGAAACTGAATTGACGGGTCAGTGATTCCTTTAGATCTGTAACATTAAAAAAAAAAAGCATAAAATATGTCAGAAAAACTTAGTCTTGCAGACTATCCTGTGATACTTACAAAGTAAGGTTAGATATTTCTACCCATCCTTGATACATTTGAACTTAGCATCATTAAAGTCAATCTTCTGAGACTTATTTCCTGTACTAACTAAACATACCAGTTCTTGTGATTTTAGTGGATTTTAAGCTATCTACGGAACAAAGGTTCTTTCAGAGATTTCATGCATACAATTTCCTCAATAATATATAAATTGCCATCTCTGTCTATGCTATTTGACACAACTTATCCTAGAAGTTTACGTACAAAGAACCAAGATGTTAGAGTAATTTAATGCTAATCTTAATACACAGTCTGTATATAACTTCTTGTTGACACTGTTGGTAGCCTGTAGCCTGCGTGCTAGCAGGGCAGAGGCCTGACAATTACTGTGCAATGCAGGATGGAGAAGCACTGTTACCCGAATTTGTGGCTAGAAAAATACAGGTTAGGGCACTGAAGATACCTGACTTGACTTATGAAGCAGAGACCTTCCTATGTCTGATAGTTTTAACTTTGCATATGTGAATTTTTCTGTGTATTACAGAAAATGTCACTTTTTCCTCCACTTCGTTGTTGAGTAATACTAATGAATTTTCAGAGAAAAGAACAAGTATAAACAGGACAGCAAAAACAATGGATATTGCATTCCTAGTAAACAATTATGTCAAGCGTAACTGTGCTCCAACTCATTAGTTTACAAGGGAGCTCCCTCTACTGACCTTTGCTAGAGCAGTTCAGCTGTTAATTGTTCTGTAGCCCCTACACGTACAAAATGATCATGCAGCAAGTGTTGATTAACACAACATTTCTTAATGCTCATTCTTAAATTGTCTTACCAGCTGTGAAAACAATTTTCTTTATAATCCTAGCTGTAGTGTTTCCAAATGAATGCAGAAACTGGAAAACCAGGGCTTAATTTACCTGCTTATATAAAGCAAGCTTACTTGAATAGACCATGTGCAGAAATACAGGCTAACAGCCCGTGACAGTACTACTACAGATTAACAAATTGGTATCTGTTTCTTCCCTAGTTCTTCCTCATGCCTCTGTTGTGATGTTCATAAGCAGACATCACTTTTACACCAGTAAAAAGTATATGGGGTTTGGTGCTCACAGTACTGTTCAGTAATCTACAGAAGTATGCCTGAAGACATGATGATGGGCAGGCAATCTATGCTCTCTTATGGGCTTTAACACTACTCTGTGAAACTTCTTTACTTAATTACAATACACCTATTTGGTACATTCACTGATAATCAAGTTCCCTCGTACTTAAAAATCACCTTAAGCCTATATACCTGTCTATCTATCTGCCGAATCATAATTAAAGTTTTAAATTATGCAACTTTTAACTTTAAAACTTGGACCTGCTAAAAAATTTATTACTAACACCCATTCTGAAGGCAGAAAATGTTTATCCACATCCTATTATCTCAAAAACCACCTTAAATAGCTTTCCATGGAACAAAATCCCTTTGCCTCCAGGAAATGTTACCCGAGAAGTCTCTGACAGACAGCTGTGAACTGAACTAATGAAGTGGAAAACCACCATTTTTACAATAGCAAAGAGCCTGTCCATCTACTCTGTAGAGCATGAAAACCAGTATCTACATTCTACTGAATTACTACAAACAAAATTCAAATGAACAGAAGGATGATATGTTTGGACCGCATATCTTTCCAAAAAATCTTATCCTAACATAAGACTTAGCTGGCCTTACTTTTATAGTCTGATTAGGCGGAGTGTTTTATCCTACAAACCTGCAGATACAAGTAGATGTTAAATAGTAGTAAGTGGAAGTGTCCAATTGTATTCTTACAATACAGATACAATCATTTAATCAGGTAATTAGCAGTCTCAAAATTCTTATGAAGTAAGATCTGATGAAACTATAACACCTGAAGTTATTTCTACACTATCTATTGTTCCCTCTGCTTCCTAAATCCCAAGGTTACCCAGTGAACCGTGCGTTCGGAGGCAGACAGGCATGCTCCGGCAAACCTCGCTGCTGCCAGTTCTGCAAGTTGCCATCCCTTGCTTTTGCCACCCTGTACAACAGCAACCACTAGCAGAATTTGCAGTAACCTCTTGTGGAGGATAGCAAACCATCACTGCAGCAAGAATTTTATCGGTATCCCCTGAACTAATATCTCTGCTGAGAACCACCAAAATCAGTCTATAGCTGATGTCACTTGTATCGGATATCCTTTTCGGAGAATCTGCGTTGGGGTGAGGGGAGGGAACAACTTACTGGCATAACTTAACACCGTAGAAGGCTTCTACTACGTGAATCAACCAGGACACCCAGAACCTAATAAAAAGAAAACATGTTTTATTTTGTTGAAAATTAGGGAGAAGACTGTTGTATCCAAGATGCATTATGCAGAGAATGTAAAACTGGAAGAATAGAAGTGATATCTCGCTTTACCCTGGAAAGTGAGGTGTGTTTCTTATCTTAGAAAAAAACCCTTGCATAGTCTTAAAAGAAACTAAAGTCCACTAAGAAAGTTAGAGGAACTGTAACTCATGCAATATGCCTGGACCTGCCATTTCAAGTATCCACTGCATAGTTTCCAAAACTTTCAGCACTTAGGTTAAACCAAAAAGCCAAATGCTTAGTGAAAGCAGTACAAGTTAATCTTAGTTGAGCATACAAAAATCTATGCTGTCACTGACACAAGTATTTTTAGCAGTCCTAATGAGTTACTGAAGTTTTTATAGATTCGGTTCTATAAAAACACCTGTGTGTATAGATTCAGAATATATAATATGACTTGATCAGTCAAACTCAGTCTATAACTTTTTTTAAAAAAAAATTACACAGGATATTCAGTTAGAATCAATTTGATACCTCGCTAAAGCAAAAGATGCTCTGAGCAAAGACAAAGACTTATCTTCTCCATGATGCATAGTGAGACAAACAAGACAGTCTCACTGTCTTCCTGTCCTAACAGGAAGTCAGGGACCTCGTTACAGGGAACTGTTTTCCACCTCTCTTGTTAATTAAAATAACAAAACCTAAGTTTTGTAACCCAGCGAGACTTAGCACTATGCAGTTTCTTCAGTAGGCTATTTCTCGTGAGGACAGGATCAGTATAAGTTAGTAGCAGGGTAGAAAATGTTCTTCAATTGAAGCTGGAAAAAGAATACTCCTAAAGAAAGGATTAGACTACTTGAGTAACAATTTGACAAAAAAAACCCCCACAACACTTTTAGGAGGTGTTACAAATAAAAGTTTACATATGGACTAATAACTCTCCAAAAGTAGTATCTTACTTTTTTTTTTCCTTTCTCACTATAACAACACAGATGCCAAATTCTAAGTTGAATTTTTTAAACTGTCATACCCGTCTTAGCCTGTCTAGTCTTCTATGTACTTATTATCCCACACCCTTAGTTGTAATGAGCTTGAAAGGAGAGCTCTTTAAGTGTAATTAACAACTGGGTTACAGGAAAGCTTGTTAACACAGACTAAGCAGAAGAGTTGGAAAGAGGCAACAGCAGAGATGCAAAGTAATTATAGTCAAATATAACTTACCCGTAGCATACCCATTTGTGGTGGTTTTCCACTAAATAATTAAGGAATCTACCAAATATTCCCAAATAACTATATGGTATAGTTGAAGGCCAAAGCGTTACCCACTTAAATAAAAAAAAAAAAAAGTTAGCTTACTTCGAGGTAAAATAACTTCAATTTAACTTTCAAATTAGCTTTCTTTTAGCTCCCCTCCTCACCCACCCGCCCCCACCACCCTTGTCTGTCAAACATTTAGGGCTCATCTATTCATAGTACTTCAACTCTTAAGTTCCATTAACCTTGTCCAAGACTGATATTCTTCAACAAGACCACTAGCCTTCTAAAGCATGCTTACTTAAGAAGATTCAAACCTATGAAATGTCTTTTCCTTGACATATAGTATGCCAAGGTGATAGGTTTAAGGTTGCTATCTGGGTACCAAGAGTGCATCTGCAAGTTAAGTGGCATTTAGGCTGTAAGCTCATTACTTATTACACATGGTAGCAGCAAAAAGTGTTGTCTCCGTCCTGAAGAAGTTAATCTGATGCAACTGACCTGAAGAATTCGAACAATGGCTAGCCTGAGAAGGAGGAATAACTATTTATCTACAACAAGGGGAAATCAATTTTTCTTCTTTTGTCCCTTAAAGAAGAAAAAGTCAGATTTGCTTCTATTTTGAACAGGGCACAGAAGATAATTGAGCATGAAGCCCAAGACCAAAGGTGCACACAGTGTTCAGGCATCTTCCCTGTCACTGAGTCGTCCACAGTGCTTATCACTGCCTACCTTTATTTTAACAGGCCGGGGAGAAGCAGGGAGTCAGTGAGCTGCGCACTTTAGACTCCTCTAGGGATATAAGCTAAACACTAAGCTGGGCCAAAGTTCACGCTGGCTTAACTTTCCTCTGGTATCAACGGTGCAGTTTCTAACAATATGTAAATTTGGCTATGCCAAGGATATGGCACGATGATGGATTTAAAGGGGGAATTTGCTTAAAGCTCATTCTGTTTCTTGAAAAGGGCCAAAAGCTGTTTTGTGAGCTGTTTGGCCTGCCTTGACCGCCATTTTTTCAGTGATGGTTCCGATGTGTAGAAAATCCAAAGAAAAACTACAACACGTGGAAGTCAATGGATGACCTTCATAAACTTGTCAGATATATCAGAACTGTCATTAATCTCCCCGCTCCAGTAATCTGACCTATCTCAGCTTAAGCCCATTTTTAGAAATTAAGACAACAACGGTGACTGAGTCTGCCTTCCGCCACTACTACCGATTAATACAGTCTGTACCTAAAGCCACCACTTGGAAATGCACCTGATTTACAGCTACAACTGAGGGTGGTCCTGCAGCCAGTTTTACTGGTGCACAACACAGGTTCTGTTTCGTGAATCTTGAAGACGCTTTCGCAGGCTACCCGCCATGCAAACTCGTGACACAAGCTACAGCGCTTGGGGGTTGTAATCACCCCCAGAGATGCCGTACGCCTTCGGTGACACAGCCTTGCTTCGCTTTCCTACCCAATTCCAGCATTTCTTTTTTTTTTTTTTAATTTTTTTTCCCCCCTCTGAACGTCCTTCACGGATGCATTCAGCACCCTCACAAGCTGAGCTGGCCAAAGCGGCGGGTTTAGTTCCCTTTTCCCCCCGGTGTATTTGGGAAAGCGGCGCCTCCGCGGGCGCTGGGGCTCGCACGGACGGACGGACGGACGGACGGACGCCCACCCCAGACACCTGCAGCGCCCCAGCTGCCTG